GCCAGCAGACCAGGGAGACGGGGAGCAGCTTTTCTCGCCCCGGAGAAGGCGGGCGGCGGGACCAGGCGTCCCGCTGCTCTAGTTCTCCGGGGCGAGAAATCCCCGTTCGTAACTGCGGATCCCACATAAGTCGGATCCGCGTAACTCGGGGACTGCCTGTACATGGAATAGCTTAATTTTAAAATGTATGAAGAAAGGCAGATCCCTAAATTGAGGTTTGAGATGTGATATGCAAGAGGTTTCCTCATATTAATAAATTGAACATTGATAGCATACAAACACCTTTTTGTGGATTAAAATCAATACAGTATAAAAAAAAATACAGTTAATTTGCCTTTCTTTTTTTTCCAGAATTGAAAGAGTGATAGACAACAATAAAACAGTAAAAATGGTGCCCATCAAGATAGTTCATTCTGAGAGCAATGCAGAGAAGGAAAGTCGCCAGAGTCTTGTGAGCACCATGGAGCCACCTGCCTTACCTAGTGGTTTAGAGAAGGACCAGATTAAAACACTCAGTACTTCTGAGCAATCCTACTCTCGTTTCTGTGCTTACACAAGGCGGGGTATAGAACCAGAGCCTGAGAGCAAAGCCAAACTTCCTGAATCGCAATCAGCTGAAGCAGTTGAAAACAACTTGAAGGACAGTGATGCCTCCATTCCTGTAATCAGCTATGTGAAAGCCAAAGAGAAGACCTTTGAAGACTGGAAGTCGGAGGAGCTAGCCAGAGAGATTGTGGGAAAAGATAAATCTCTAGCAGATATTTTGGATCCTAATGTGAAAATAAAAACTACAATGGATCTGATGGTGGGAATCTTCCCTAAAGATGAACACCTCTTAGAAGAAGCTCAACAACGCAGAAAGCTCCTACCAAAAGTTCCTTCTCCAAAAATTGCAGAGGAAAAGTGAGTTAAGTGTTTCCAGAAACCAGCAACCCTTACCCTGTTGCTGTCCAACTTTGTGTTTTTCCCTAAACATTCAAGGATCCTGCTTCATAGTATTAATTTTTAGGTTTTCCCGTTAAAACGGCATTATTGGTAGTGTCATTTACTGACAAGATCTATAATCACAGGAGCAAAAATTAGAGTCCTATGGCAGAGAACAAATGTATCTATGTTAAACGCTTTACACATTAGTTATCGTGTAAAATATTTATTACATTGCACCAAAACCAAACTTGGAAAAGCCAAACAATCGCATAAGGGATTTGGGGAAGAAGCAATTAGAATTTTATCATAACACATTTCTCGAAGGCTTTACAAAGTTCTCTAAAACCACCCAATCTGGTGTACAGATAGAGGAGAAAACTTCAAATGAATATAAAAAAATATAAACTCCGTCAAAGTAATCCACTATCACCTGGTTGAGCATGAGAACAGAATAATAAAATATATAACAAAAAAGCAGTTGAATCACACAGATCTTAGATCTCTGAGTGGCAAACCTGAATCCTGACATCCTAACATGACAACCTTCTTCCTAATAATCCTGAATTTGGTAGTCCGAAGAGTGGATATAATCAATACATTATGGCAGGAGGTGGGGAATCTCAAGCCCAGAGACACTCCAGCCCCCCTGCTGCCCTACCACAGTACTAGAGAACACAAAATCTACTAGGCTGGCCCCCCCTAGACTTTGGTATGGGAGGGGAATGTGAGGATTGTCTTTTTTCTCAGTTGGGGGCCACATCAGTGAGGTGAGGATTTTTGTTTGTTTGTTTGTTACACTTGTGTGCAGCTCCCAATTGATTTTTCTGTGGGTCAGCAGCCCCTACCCCAAAAAAGGTTCCCCATCCCTGCACTATGGGAACTTTTAAAAACAGTTTCCAGCTTTTCTCACAGATAATGGCATTGAGGTCTTTATATTGTTTATTAAAGTGGAACTTGAAGGCTGTTGCATCAAATTTCAGCCTGTGAGAGACAAATTTTGTTTAGGTTTCTCTCACATTAATAGTGAAGGCTTCTCTACAAAGTCGTTTTGTTTTGTGGTCGACAGGTGCTGACATCACAAAATTGTTCATCGCAGTTGATATTTATTGTCATCCTTGTGAGCGATTGCTCAGCTTGAAGCCTCAGTGTTGAGTTCTACAGAAACTTGCATTGTCACTCTGTTTGTTATACCTGGTCTCTGGACCTAGGGCATCGGGGGATTGCCAGAGCACTCAAAAATCATGCATGCTTAGGAACACAGGCATTGCCATACTGGATTAAATAGAGGGTTATCTTATCCTGTGGTTCTCAATCTATTTACTGTCATGGGCTGCATATGCAGCTCTCTGTGAGTTGTGCATCTACACAGCACACACACACATCTACCAGTATGGCCCTGAGGATGTCACATGGGCCACATTTGTGTCCTGACTGGGCCACAAGTAGCCTGCAGGTTGAGCACCACTGAGCTAATACAATATTCTACCTCCATTCAAGGGCTAGTTGAGTTCAGACAGAAAATAGAGAAGAAAATGATTTTAAATTTAAGTTTCTTAAAGCACTGTCTTGACCAGTTATAAATTTTAAACAGTGTCCTAAATTCAGTATTGCTTCATCAGCTGTTGTATTTTTGGTATTGCTGATCATTGCAAATATATTTCTGTTTTTATTACTCTGCTTGCCGGGTAATTATAATTTCTTAAAATCCCCAGAATGACCACTTTTCTACTAGTCAAGAGAGTATTGCTTAAAGTAATTGGATCTTTAAGGTTCAAAATGGAGAAAATGAAGTGTGATCTGTTGCATTTTCACCAGAAGATTGACTCACTAACCAGTGAGAGCACAGGTGTAGACCAAAACTCTGCCTTCATGCCAATGCCTGTGAAGAACAACAGTAAATGATGATTTAAACAGTTATACAGAGTGCAATTAAAAGACAGACTGATAATAAATGCTTCCAGATGGAAGTGCTACTAGTTTCCTTTAAAAGCCTAGATTGATAAGTAATTATTGTGACTTCCAGTGTGGCAATTTTTCCTCACACATTTGACCCTGCATTGTTTCCATAGTTATCATTGTCCCGTTAAACAGTCCATTTACTTGGCAAAATGGTGGGTTTGAAAGACTGTTCTTTCTTTTCAGTGCTCAGGATGTCAGGCAGTTAATTAAAGTTATGACTTTTTACCAGGAAAGAGGAGCAGGGCATGCCCTCTGCCATCTCCTTGACAACTAATTCCACCTACTACAGCACGTCCGTACCAAAAGCAGAATTGCTGATTAAAATGAAGGACATGCAGGAGCAGCAGAGTGAAGAGGATTCTGAAGATGAGCTGGATCATGACTTGTCAGAAAAGAAGGTAACACAGTTTTGCACTTTTAAATGTTAAATAAGATTTTCAAACCTGGATGCCTAAAATTAGGCTGCTAAATCCACAATTAAGTATCTAAATAAGAGGGCTGAATTTAAGCCAGTGGTAGTTTCTGGGGGCTTAGCAGTTTCAAAAGATCAAGTTGTTTATTTTTGTGTCTTACAATTGACTTCAAAACCTAACTTTAGATAGACAAGCCTATTTTTAAAAGCCTTGTGTGTATGTTTGTCTTTGTTTCCTACCAGTATTTCTGCCTGAGAATATCACCTTTCCACTTCTGTAAGAGAAGTGTGCTTTGTGAGAGAGTTGCTGAGCATGCACCAATCCCACTGAAATCAATGGGCCCTTGGACTTCTCCAGGCTTTTGAAAATTGGGCCTTCTGTCTGGTTGGTTGATTGGTTTGTTTTGGGGTTTTTGTTTTGTTTTTTGTGAGTTTTTTACTGCTTGTGAACTCATGAGACTGATAACATTGGTTGGAGCTAGATAGGCAGTTCACACATCACAGCCCCCTAAGCACATGTAGCCCTGTAGCACCTTACTCTTAACTTGCATAGTATTCCAGTCCTGAGAATCTGCGTGGTGGTTGTAGCAGCTCAGCTCTGTTAGATTGACACCAAACTCCATTTACGGTTTGGCACAGATAGATTTTAACCTTGTTTCCAAGTCATGAGAAACTGAGGGAAATTGTCTATTGTGCTATTCAGTGCTATCTGTTTCTGTGTTCATAGTGGTCTAGTTCTAACTTTATTTACTTAGGGTGTGTCTAGACTACCTAGCTTTGTCGACAAAAGTGGACTTTTGTCGACAAAACAATACCAGCGTCTACACTACCGCGGAGTTCTGTCGACATAACGTCGACAGAACTCCGTGGTTTTGTCGACGCTGGTATACCTCATTTTACAAGGCATAACACTTTCTGTCGACAGAACTCTGTCGACAGAAGGTGTTATTGCCTGTAACACTGCGTCCAGACTACGGAGTTCTGTCGACAAAGCGGCTTGCTTTGTCGACAGAACTCCATGTGTCTGGATGCAAATTGTCGACGGAAGTCTAGACGTACCCTTAGGGAGTAGGGTAGGAATGTGAATGGTTAACTGGTTGATTGGTTAACAAGTAAGCATCACCCTTACTAGGTGAGGCTTACCGGTTACAGTTAATTGGCATTTGGCCTGGCCAGAGTACTCTATGCCTGTGGCGGACCCAGTCTGGCTAGAGCAGCCCATGTCTGTGATGAGGGGGACGGGCCTGCCACACAACACCTCAGGCAGAGGGCCCTTATCCCAGCATGTTTGGAGCGCACACACCTCCCCTGCCCATTTCCCTTCCCTCCCCCCCGGTCCACTGCTGTTTAACAGGTTAACTGATTAAATGGGATTTTACATTCCGAATACCAGGAGAGGAGCTGCCTTCAGTTCCAGGATATCTCATTTTGTGAATGTAAACCACCATGATCAACCTGCAGTGTTCCTTCAATACAGTAATCCAGACTGAGGGTACATCTAGACTGCTTTCCTCTTCCAAAAGAGGAAATGCAAATGAAGCACTGATTAGCATATTCTTGCACGTCATTTGCATATCCTCATATGACCCTTTTTGCGGAAGGCTTTTCGCCAAAAAATGCAGTCTGGACGTGGCTTTTTCCATGGAAAAAAAAAAACAAACCTTTTTCGAAAGAACCTGTATTCCTCAAAAAATGAGGTTTACAGGTTCTTTCAAAAAAGGGGGTTTTTTTTGAGCTTCATTTGCATTTTCTCTATTGAAAGAGGAAAGCAGTCTAGATCAGTTTTTGTTAAACTGTGTTCTGTGGCGCACTGGTGTGCCGTGAGGCAGTCGGAGGTGTGCCACGGAGAACAACAAAATTCAAAATGGCCACTCTTAGAGGGGCAGGCGACCTTTTTATTTTTTCTCAATATCTTTCCCCCGACTCTTTTTTCCCCCGACTTTTTTTTTTCCTCAACAAAAAATCCTCGGTGTTCCCCATAAGTTATTGTTTGGTGTTCCTTGATCTTAAAAAATTTAAGAAACACTTATCTAGATGTACCCTGGGAGGAATGATTTTTAAGTGAATAAAAGGGAAATTGTTTTTAAGAACTGTTCGGATATGTTAAGTAATCCATTTCCATTGGAAGCAATTTACTAAACTAAAGAAGAACATTAATTATTCTTGATTCCTTTTACCTGCCAATTATTGTTTTTTGTTTTAATTGATTCAGCAAAAAAAGGTCTGGTCATATTGTCTGAGGAAAAAGTGCTTAAGTTAGAATTTGAAACATTTTTCATCGACCCAACCAACAAGCTGCAATCCACAGACTTATAAGTCAAAAATGTCCTTTATTTGTAGTGATGTCTTTTTAAATGAAAAATGTATTTCCCTTCATCACCTCCCTCACGCCACTAACACAGATTGTACAGGCTGAGAAGTATATCCATTTATAGATTTACTAGATACCCTCCCTCTCTCATGTCTGTGATAGACACGTTCATGTTTACTCACCCATCTGTTCTTTTGAATGCAGTGATATGTGAGCTCTCAATCCAGCAGGCTTTCATCTTAGAGCTCGTCATGCAGTATATGCAAATCACAGTAAATAGGTCAAGCCTTCCTTACAAAACTGCCAAGATGTATAAAATGGTCCAATTTCACATAACAGCCGACTGTTGAAAAAGGAACTATTGCATCCTGAAAGCTTGAATATTATAATTTATTTGTCAGTCTGTTAAAAGAGACACTACTACATGCTTTGGAATCTGTTTCTCAATTCATTGACACTCACCAGTTTTATTCTAGGAAATCATGGCTTAGTCCAGTCTGGGATTCACAGTGGATGTTCCAGGACCAGTTTACGCCCACCAGTCTGTGTTTTGCAATGCTGCAATCTGTGAAGCAATATGTTTGTTGTCTTGTTATTTTATTTAGAATAAAATGTTGGAAAGTTAGGATGCGTTTGGTGGGAATTTTATGTAGAGAAATTGCACAAATCTATTACAAATAATTAGAAACAATCTCCCTAATAAATTAAATGTTCAGGTCATGTAAAGTCATTGAGGAACAATAGGATTAGCACAAATATAAATGGATTTGACTTTACATTTGGGTTTGAAAAATCTACTCGTGGCACTGTCTTTTTAGAGAAGAATATAATGTGGAATGAGGCAGGGAACATAGCACAAACCCACAAAAGTAAACCCAGTGCAGTGATGTTTTCCTAGGCCTGCAGAGAGATAGTACAGGCAGTCCCCGGGTTACGTACAAGATAGGGACTGTAGGTTTGTTCTTAAGTTGAATCTGTATGTAAGTCGGAACTGGCACCCAGATTCAGCCGCTGCTGATCAGTTTCAGCAGCAGCTGACTTGGGGATGCCTGGGGTTCTTAAGTCGAATCTGTATGTAAGTCGGAACTGGCACCCAGATTCAGCCGCTGCTGATCAGTTTCAGCAGCAGCTGACTTGGGGATGCCTGGGGTTCTTAAGTCGAATCTGTATGTAAGTCGGAACTGGCACCCAGATTCAGCCGCTGCTGATCAGTTTCAGCAGCAGCTGACTTGGGGATGCCTGGGGTTCTTAAGTCGAATCTGTATGTAAGTCGGAACTGGCACCCAGATTCAGCCGCTGCTGATCAGTTTCAGCAGCAGCTGACTTGGGGATGCCTGGGGTTCTTAAGTCGAATCTGTATGTAAGTCGGAACTGGCACCCAGATTCAGCCGCTGCTGATCAGTTTCAGCAGTGGCTGAATCAGGACGCCTGGGGCAGAGCAGCTGGGGTGCTGCCGGGTTGGTCCAGTAGCGTGGCAGCTCCTCGGCGCTACTGGACCAACCCAGCAGCACCCCAGCTGCTCTGCCCCAGGCGTCCCCAAGTTAGCCGCTGCTGAAACTGATCAGTTTCAACAGCGGCTGAATCTGGATGCCAGTTCCGACTTACATACAGATTCAACTTAAGAACAAACCTACAGTCCCTATCTTGTACGTAACCCAGGGACTGCCTGTACAACTGCTTCTGTTGCTAATACAGCAAGAGGAAGAACCCTGCACAGATACAAAATTGGTATCCTCAGCTGTTGCTGCAAAAATGATTAACAGATATCCGCATTCACATCCATGGATATGCGTACCCGCAGCTATAAAGCGGATATCTGTAAATTTGCCAGGTTCTCGATATGAAATTTGTATCCTCCTCTGCAGAAATGAACTGCAGATATCCGCATCCACATGCATGGATGTGGATACCCACAGATATAAAGCGGATATCCGTGGAATTGCAGGACTCTAGCAATAGACTACCTAGGCTAGTGAGGGGCAGCATGAGTAACTTCTCCTTCATTTCAGTGAGCCACAAGATTGTTGTATGCAAGACTGTCTCCTGGGATAGAGTAGTTAGTCTGATTGCGCTCGTGTACCTGCAAGTTGTGGGGGTTGTATGCAAGACTGTCTCCCGGGATAGAGTAGTTAGTCTGATTGAGCTCGTATACCTGCAAGTTGTGGGCGGTGCTGATTGAACTGTAGCAGTACTTTAATTGGATGCAGAGGGAACGCATGGCTCTTAGTCAATGTTGTGTGAAGTCAGCATGCACCTCTCTTCATTTGTCCTTGCTTTACGTGAATGTCACTTTAGTAAAACTGGTAGGGGAAAAAAATGCAGATGGAAATCTGAAGAATCTGGCAACCCTGTGCACAGGCAACAGTAAACAAAATGTCTCATGGGCCACGCATAGAACCCCACTGGGCCGCTTGTGATCTGCAGGCCGCAAGTTGCCCACTGTTTGCTCTGATAGCTTTGCTTTGCTAAGCTGCTTCTGAGTGAAATGAACCAGGCTCCAGTCAGTTTTTCTGCTAGTATTCAAAGTAACAAGGATTCTGTCCATTTGAGCTGGTCTACACTAGCAAACTTGGGAGCTGCAGTTCACCCCCATTTCAAAACTGTAATTGATGTCAAGGAGACATTACAGCTCAGTGAATTACTAATGGGATATGTAGTTTTTAATCTGGTTTATAGGTTTCATGTTTCACAAAGGTCAGTAGTGAGTGCAAAGTCGTTTTCCGGGTCTTGTAGAAAGAGTTAATCATCTCAATCCAGTTCCCAATGAATATGTGTCCATCTCAAAACTGATGTGTTTACTGACAGCCTTAGAAGAGAGGCTATGTGCATGTATTCAGATCTACTTTCCTGACATTTAAGGGCGGTTCTTCCATGACTCATTTAAGTCATTCTAGCAGGGCAGTGTGGAACAGAGCATAACTTTCTTTAATAATGCATTTTATCATAAAACAATAGAATGATTAAATTGCATGGCATCCTAGAAAACAGGAGTACAGCAGCCTGACCCAGTTAATCCAAATCCAACTCCATTTGCATTTAGGAGGGAACAAAAAAAATCAAATCCTTCAGATTAATCAGTTGGTAGCGCATGAATGTGTAAAACTGCTTACTACCTTAATCTTTTGGACACCCAGACAAACAGATAACCCCTGTACAGATTAACCTAACCTGAGACTGTTAAATCAAAACAGGACACGGCCAGTCCAAATAATCCATATGTTTGACTTCAGAAGTATTCTTTGTTAGGCTTTAAGATATAGCTGGCCTCTGTTAGGGGAGCTGAATTATGGATGGTTCCCAAAACTGTCAGTGCTTATTTTGTGTAACTCTGAAGATTGGCTATACCTTCCTATATACAGTATAAGGGTCAGTACCATATTCCTAGGAAACAGATGGGTTTCTGTTTAATTGTACATATTCAATTGGTTAGTTGAAATCAGAGTTTCATATGAGTGTGCCCTGAAATCAAGAAACTTAAAAGAAAAACAAAAATGTAAAGTGGCACTAGAAAATAATTACCATCTTAGACAATGTAGCCTGCGTTAGAAATTGACACTAACAATTTGAAATATTACTATTATTTACAGAAAGGCAACATAAGGAGATGAGACCCCAGCCCAAGGAAAAATGTTTAGGGAGGTGGCATGGTAAGAGCAGAGAACACACATTCAGGAGACTGGGGCTCTAGTTCTGCTCTGACTGTGACTCACTGCATGACCTATAGGAAGTCTGTTCCCCTCTATCCAATGGAAATAATACTTACCTCCCAGGGATTGTTAGGAGCTATGTTTTGAGGGTACTTTGAGACCTTCTGACAGGAAGGGCTATAGAAAGCACAAATTATTTCAGACCTGTGTTTTTATCGCAAATGCAGAACAATTTGAAATAAAAGGGGAAAACCATAAAAAAACCTTAAAATGGAAAAAACTCACCTTCCTTCTAACCCTGCTTCCCAGCAGTGGCTCCTGCAGTTGCTGTTCTGTGGACTTGGTGCCTGGCTTCCCATTCTGGACATTGCTACCTGGCCCATGGAATTGCAGCACAACTCAGGTTTGGCCTCCCCCCTCCTCTACAATGACAGTGCAGCAACAGGGCCAGAACTGAGAAGTACTGCAACTCTGTGTGCTAGGTCACAACGCCTGGAGCAGGGAGCCAGGCTCAGCCTGGCAGGAAGTAATAGGAATCAAACAGCATTGTATGCCATGTGTTAACGTGGACCACCTAGCTTTCTGTCTCCATAGTCTACTTAGCACCATCAGCCCCCCACCCCAAGAATGATTATGCTCAGAGAGGGTGCTTTGGGGACAGTCTTTGAGAAGGAGAGAGTACTTTCACTATGCAGTAATTGGCTTTGAAAATTTGAAGCTGATTTAAGGAGTAGTCATAGTGAGCTCCAAAGGATGTCTTGTCTTCTGCCATGGTGATGAATTGCCAGAGTGGGCTCTTAAACTGAAAGTCCATCTAAAAGGTTGTGTCCTAATTTTTTTAATTCCAGAATGCTTCCAAGCTCTCCTAAATGAACAGGTAACTGGAATGTGCATACCTCTCACTTTCCCAAGCTCCAGATATAATAGGGTCACAAAAAAATTCATGCAGAGATACTGTTATTCCTTAAATAACTTTGTGATTCTTTGTTTCTTGTTTAAATAACTTTCTACCATAAAAGTGAAGGGAGACTAGATTTCTGTGCGCGGAGAGAACTTTGGGACTTAAATGAGTGATATCCCTCAACATGTGAGACAATAAAGAATTATTGTAACACAGAGTGTGATAATGAGGACAAAAAAAATGGGGGCCAGGAATCAGCTGTGAACACTTGCCCTTCGTTGCTCTCTGGCCAGCTGGCCAAGTGTCTTCAGTGAAGTGTTCTCCTCTGTCCCTTTAATAAGGCTTCTTTAAAATACTGCCAGCTCTGCTGGACTCCTTTTCCCCTTCATGGAAGCACCCCAGGGATCCTACCCATCAGTTCTCTGAGGGAGTCAGTCTGCTCTTCTGAAGTCCAGGGTGTGTATTATGCTACTTTCCTTTCTTCCTTTGGTCTGGATCCTGAATTGAACCATCTCATGATCATTGCTTCCCAGGTTGTCACCCACCTCTACTTTCCCCTACTAGTTCCTCCCTGTTTGTGAGCAGCAGGTCAAGCTACGCATGGCCCCTGGTTGGTTCCTTCAGCACTTGTACCAAGAAGTTATCCCCAACTTTCTCCAAAAACTTCCTGGATTGTCTGTGTACTACTGTACATGTTGTTGGTTTCTCAACTCCCCAACGAGCAGAGTCGCAGATTTGCCCTTAAGCTGTCACAAAGGAGTGTCTAAAACAGGGTTGGAAATGGAGAGTCTCCTGGGAGCCCAGTGAGTGACAGAACAGATTCTTTCTTCTTCCCTTTTCCCTGATGGGGAAAAACAAAACTGACTAACTTGGATTTCTTGCCATATAAAGTAATTCTCCTTTAGCTGAAAACCCCTTTTAGCAATGAAATGTAAAGCAATGTGCATGCAAAAACTTTGTAGACTTCATTTCTCTACAGGTTGAACCTCTCTAGTCCAGAACACTCTGGTCCAGAAACATCTGTCATCTGGAATGATTTTAGTTAGCCAGATGTCCACTTTTTATGGATGTGGCCCAAATTTTCCATGGTCCCATAAAGTTTTACAGTCACCAGTCTTAGCTTTCAGTTTTCTGTGCTGTTATTGAGCTCTAATTTAGCCCTCAATGTCCTCTAACATCCCAATAAGCAGTGGAAGTATCAGTAATGCTGCTAGACAATATTGATCTCCCATGGTCCAGGAAATTCTCTTGTTAGGAATTGGTCAGGTCCTGAGGGTTCCAGACTAGAGAGGTTCCACCTGTAGTTGGACCACAGTGCCATAATCATAGTTTTCCTTGTACTAATAAACATAAAGTCAGCTGTTCACTTGCTAATCAGAATCAAAGGCTGGTGGGGTTTTTGTCATGTAACAAAGCAAATCAGGGGCATGATCCTGCTTCTTTTTACTCAGTGAGTGTTACTAATGACCTCAATAAGAGGAAGCCTGAGGCCTAAGAATCTCCAGTAGTGGGGTCCTGTTTTGTTTTGGGTTCTGTAAACTGATCTGTTCTAGGAGGGGAAAGGAGTCTGATGCTGAAGTTTGGGGTCTTTTACCCATTGCTATTGACGCTTTTCACTGCTGCTGATGCTTTTCTCCCTGAGATATTGGAACAGAATGCATGGAGAGAAATCTCTCCCTCTCTGCTAAGTCAAGTGTCACTAATAAATACTTGCTCCCCTTTTGTTGTCCACAGCAAAAACTCATTGACAGCATCAGTAGGAAGCTGCAGGTGCTGCGAGAAGCTCGGGAAACACTCCTAGAAGACATCCAAGCCAACAATGCACTAGGAGAGGAGGTGGAGGCTATTGTAAAAGAAGTCTGCAAACCTAATGAGTTTGACAAGTTCAGGATGTTCATTGGGGATCTGGACAAAATAGTCAACTTGCTGCTGTCGCTGTCAGGTCGTCTAGCCCGGGTGGAAAATGCCCTAAATAATTTGGATGAAAATGCCTCTCCTGAAGAACGGGTAAGGCAGGGTGCTAAAGGGCAAGAATATTATTTTGGTATTTAAGGAATCAGTGTGGGAGGCTTTTTTAATTTGAAAATCAGGAGGATAAGAAAGTAGAGGAGTGAAGACTGCTGTGCTGATAATTCACATCAGACTGCTTTCATTAGATCTCGTTAATACTCTTGATCATGCCTGGCCTTCATTCAGACTGGCTTCACCACAGGTGGCTTAGACCTGAAGAATGCAGGACACTTCAGGTTTAGGAGAGTAGGTTGTTTAAAAACTTTTCCCTCTAAAACACTAATGGACAGTTGTCCTGATGAAAGATTATGAGCCTTCTGTTTTTTTAACAAAGGAAAGAAAAAAGCACATGGAGGAGAACAAAGAAAAAGTAATGGTCTGACTCAGCAATGTGGGATGCTTAAAAGAGAACAGATTTTGCATTTGAGCTCCAGTCCAGACACACTGTCTACAGTGTAGTATTATTATACTATGGTGGCACCAAGTCAGTCATCGGTAGCCATTGCCCTTAGATATTGTACAGTTAGGGTGTGTCTAGACTACAGGGTTTTTTTTGAAAAAAGGAGCCTTTTTTTGAAAAACCTTCAGCTGTTTCTAGACTGCAGCCGCGTTCTTTCGAAAGTAAATCGAAAGAACGCGGCAGTTTTTTCGATCACGGTAAACCTCATTTTACGAGGAATAACACCTTTTTTCGACAGTACTCTTTCGAAAAAAGGCGCTATCGAATACAAACTGTCATTTTTCGAAAGAGAGCATCTAGACTCTTTTGAAAAAGTGGCTTGCTTTTTCAAAAAAAATCTGCTTAGTAGTCTAAACGCTCTCTTTTGAAAGAGGCTTTTGCGAAAGATTCTTTAGTAAAAGCCTCTTTCGAAAGAGACTTGTAGTCTAGACGTAGCCTTAGGTGCTAGAACCAGGCATTCTGGGGTTGCAGTAATACTCCCAGGCTTGAAATGGTTTCCATTATATAGATGATTTACAGTTTGATTCAGTGGCTTTCAGCACTGCGTAAATTGTTTAAGCACCCTTGACTGTGCAGACAGGTAACACAGACGATGTTTGAGAGAAGTGGCAGGATGCATTAATGGACAAAAGGCAGAGAACTTGGGCGTGGCAGGGTGGGAATACAAAATCTTTTAAAAAAGGCATTTGACAGAAGAATGGCTTTCCAGTCATCTGTTGGTGCCAGATGGTAGTGTGTTATAGAAATCTCATCTCAGGAGAGGTAAGTTATTAGGAAAGATTTTAAGGACTTTACTAGGGAGGTTATTCATTGCTAACCTTTTGGTAATAGCAGAGAAATGGAAAGTGACTTATATATAGTATTATCCAGTAGCCATAATTTCCCCATGGTTAAAACTGAGTCTTGCTTCCTTTGCAAGTCTGACTTTAGATTCCTGTATATTACATTTTAAAAAACATCTCTGCATCAGATTTTATATTGCTGGCCTGTGGCCCCAGTGCATTCTTTTGCCTGAGTAGGACACGCTTTGTAAAGACACAGATGCCTGTCAAAATGTGAAATATCTTTCCTGAAATGATCTAGTGCCAAGGATCAGTTTTTGATGCAGGAAGGCAAATTTGCAAAGGTCTTTGATAGCAATTTAAGACTTGAATGGTCCTTTATGCTGTGGTGGAATCTTAAAGGGCATAATAAAGCTGGAAGATAGTTAGGATTTCAAAGTCACTAGCCCTCTGTACAGCAGGAGTCTTCAAATTGTAAACCAGTTTCTAGGAAGGTTTGCCATTGTTTCTGCTACTATCCTGTCACCCCTACAAAAACTAGGAAAAAGACACTACTCCACTAGTAGTCACTACTCGACTACTTGCTCCCCCACTTGCTGCCTTGCTGGGGAGCAGGAGCCAGTGCTGGGGGTAGCCGGCTTAAAAGCCTGTTCTTCCTAGCACCTATCTCCACTGGGGGTGGGGCAGAGGCATAGGAGGGGATCTAGTGTGAGCTGAGATTGAGCAAACCTTTTTTAAAAGTAAAAAGCAGAGAGCTCCCACTGCGGCTCTACCTTTTAAATGTAAGAAGAGTCTGGTGGCTCTTACTACCTTTAAAAGGCAGAACCGCAGCAGTCCTGGAGCTGGCGTGAGCTGGGACTGCTCAGTCCTGGCTGCGCTGCCTCCGGGAGCTTAACCCCCTTATCAACTACTCAATTAGCTTATGAATTGCGACTTAGCATCCCTACTTTTGAAATGGGACTAGATCAAAGCACATTAAAAATCATTAGTATGTGTCAGCTGGAGCCACATGGACAGTTAGACCACAGCTGGCTGGTGGCCCTAACTTGCCACAAACTGTTTGCATAGAGAAGCCCTTAGTCCCAGCCCACCATACATAAATCTTGCTATCCATGTCCCTGCAAATAAAACCAACTTCAAGGTTGACCAAAAAACTGTTTACCTCGAACTTGTCTCTGTAATATGTTTCTCTTTCTCTTAAGCGGACACTGGTAGAGAAGCAGAAGCTACTGACTCAGCAGCATGAAGATGCAAAAGAACTGAAGGAAAACCTGGACCGACGGGAGCGCATTGTCTTTGATATTCTGGCCAACTATCTGAGTGAAGAGAGCCTAGCAGATTACGAGCACTTTGTAAAGATGAAGTCAGCCCTTATCATTGAGCAGAGAGAGCTAGAGGACAAGATCAAGCTGGGGGAGGAGCAACTCAAATGTCTGACAGACAGTCTCCAACCCGAAAGGCTCAAGTAAGAGGTTGAGGCCTGACCAAAGACTTGAAAACTGGATGCTTGGGTCGTTTCCAAGTATGCAAGAGAAAACCCTGACTTCTATCTGTGTCCAGTAGGGGGAGTTAGACAAAAGAAAAATAGCTACAATAGCAATAATGATCTTTCTCATTGTTTGGATGCTGTATTTAATTTTTTAGACCCTCTTTTTAATCCCCGACTCTGTAGCTGTTCTTTGTCTCTCAATCTATAGAAAGTTCTACAGGAAGTAGAGGATAGATTTTTAAGCTTTTAATTCCATATATTGTGAAGTCTGTTGCAGTAGTGCATGCAAACAGTAATGGTTTTCAGAACAAGATATGTGACCGTCTTTGTCTTCAGATGTCTTCAGTACAAACTGTTGGGAAGCCCAAAAGCAAATGATTTTTAAAAAGCTCGAAGTTGAGGGCTTTTTTTTCAGTCACATCATGTGTGACATGAGTCTAGTATTACATTCAGGTTGCTCTCGTATTGATCCTGGTACGTACATCAGATGCTTTTTTCTTTAATGCATCACATAAGAAAATGTCTCACTTTCTCCTTTCAGAAAATAATTTCAAAACCTATCTCAGCTGGCTACAGATTAAATACACTTGAAAATTGTTTAAGATCTACATTACTGAAGTTAAGAACACATGGTTTAGACAGAAACATTATTTTTATTATTATTTTGACATTGCACAGAAAAAGTTGTGGGCCCATATATATTCTAGCGTAAATACATTTTCTTACCAAGTGAATTGATTTTAAAACCTAGGATTGAGGATGCTTTGTTTGTGTGGTTCAATTAATTTAATAACTGAACTATTAAGAAAAATCTGTTTGCTGCTTTGGGTTTCCCCCCAGCATAGGAAAGAGTCAATAACTTAACAGGACAGACTGAACTATGTTTATTTTTCTTCTGCTTGTTCAACAGTTCACCTTTTTATATAAATATTTAAATTATATTCAAGCTGTCCCATGTAATGCTGTTTTGTCTTTCTCCCTTCCCTCATTTTCCCCAAACGCAATATAAATACCTAAGCCACTTAAATATTCCTAGGTCACGTGAGTTCAGTGCAGTATTCAAATTAACTCTGGCTTATAACTGTGAACATATGTATTTTTTCCATGTCACATGTTGACATAGACTCTTTAATGATAGGACACTATTTCTCAGTTCAAGATTATTGGAGGTGATATTGTAACACTGCCATCCAGTAAAACTCTGATAATCTGCATCATGCTAACAATCTGTTAACACAATGGATTGCTCTGTGAATTACATGTATTATTTCTAAATTAAGATATAACTTTTTTGGGGAAAGTGAAGTCTTAGCTATTTAAATCAGGAAGCCCTTTATCTCTGTGTTTCGATAAACAGAAGCCACAATTAAGGCTGAAGGGAATACCAATCTGTAGGAATCTTTGAAAAATACAAGTGATTACTGATAAAACAGGATGAGAGAGAATTGTCTCTTTACACTGTTTCTAGAATTGTAATATTGACAAAAGGTTCTTTATCTGTTCTTATAAAAAGCTGCCTCTTTTAGTGCTTTTCTATGGCTAAATCAAGATGGCAGAGTTAAATCAGAAAAAGATATGCCATTTGCGGTACACAAATGGTGTAACTTTTTCTGATGTTCTTTTGAAAGAAGCTTTTTCAAAATTTGGCGCGTCTACATGGTGCCAAATTTCAGAAAAACCTGCTCTTTTGACACCTCCCTTATGCCTCATAGAACAAGATTTACAGGGATGGCGAAAGAGCACGTCTGCTTTTTTTAAAACATTTTTGGAAAAGAGGACATGTTGCTTGGACACAGCGTTACTTTTCTGGGATACCTCCAGTATCCTAGAAAAGCATTGCAGTCTAGACATAGCCTTTGTCCCTTTTTCCTGATCAGTGAACTGCTAGCATTACAGGGAATTGGCACCGAAATTTCTCTAACACCAAGCCTTTCACAGACAACTATAAATGTTAAAGGGACCATTTGCCTTTTATACGATCCTAATTCATATATACTGAGCCAGATCATCAGTTGATGATCTGGCCTTAATTTCTTCTTCCAGTTTACAAAACTTTAGACTTCTGTCAAAATCCCACAAATATTTGCTGCTATGTTAATTGATACTAGCACTGGTGAGTTTTCTCTTTAGACCCACTCCTTAACCATATGAAACCCTAAGCTAAATCACTCTTAAATAAATTATATTTAGGTTTAGTCAAGGTAGTGTGCATTGTTTTACCTGTGACCTTTTAAAGTGTTTTACATATTGTGGTTACTCTGATGTGTATGTGAAATGTGACTGTGAATAATAATATAATTTCATTATGTGTGTGTACAGTACTTTATTTAGACCTTTCATATAAAGATAGCAATACTGAGGATGTGATATATATTGTCATTTTCACAAAGCAGTATATTTAGTCATCATCTCTCACTTTCTTCTTTTTTAAATTGTGCTCAAAAGCTCTCTTAATTGGGACTGGAAGATGGCTGTCTTCCAATGCTATATGTAAATCTGTAAATAGGTATATTGTTGCTTTAAAAAAATTCTGGTGCTAATATTTTGCCTTTGGCATCTTTAGGTGATGGCTGTTGCTTCACCTTATGTCATCTCTCAATTTTAAATCTCTTTGTATAGTGAAGAATGTGTCAGGTTTCTCCACTTGTTTAGATTTTGCACCCTAGAGTGAAAATGTGTACAGTTTTCTTGCTTGACACTTAACATTTGCCTACTGACAAATCGTATTGCTTGATTTTGAGGAAATAAACTGTATATTTCAGTGTACTGAGTGTATCATTCATTTCATGTGGTCAGAATATCAAGACATCTACTCTTTCATTGGATATTTATGTCCACTTTGCAATCTCTCATGTCAGATAAAGTGTATAGCATTTAGGGTAGCAAACTATTTACCTGCTGGTTTAAAATCAGAATACTTTTTTATTCCAAATTATTTTAAACTTAGAATTGATCAGTCTTAAGTCCCACATCTAGAATGGAAGTAGTTCTTAGATGTGGCATTCCATGTAAGGATATAAATCAATAGGAAAGTGGAACTGAGTAGTTTTCTTCCCTTCTCTGATCCTCCTTGCATTTGTTTTTGTTTTAAGTTGTCCACTTTCCTCTTTCTTCTATACCTTACAGATAATAATAATAATAGAGGTTGAACTTCTCTGGTCTGAAACTGTCTGGTCCAACAATATCCATGGTCCTGCAGAGAGTTTCTGGACCAGAGAGCCCCGGCAGCCAGGAGAGGAGACAAGAGCCCAGCACTGGGGCTGGCAATGGAGCCAACCAGGGGCTGGGAACTCTGCAGCCCAGATGGGTCAGGGGCAGGCATAGCAGCACAGCCCAGTTGTAAGCACAGAGCCTGATGGCCAGGACCTGGGCTGGATTGACAACTCAGCCCAACCAGGGACACGGAGCCCAGTGGCCTTGGCCAGGGCCTGACAGTGAAGGCTGGCAGGTGCCTGTGGGCTGGGAGCAGGGAACCACAGCGCCCAGGAGAGGAGCCAGGACAGAAGTCGAGTTGGGTGGGGGCATGAAGTCTGGAAAGGAGTCCAACTAGTTCTGCTGATGGACCTGGGAGAACCCTGGAGTCCATCAGCAGAGGGGCCAGAACTGACCTCCCTTCATCTGGCAAATTCCCTCATTCGGGACTGGACAGGTCCCAAAGGTGCCAGACCAGGGAGGTCCAACCTGTAATAAACATTATGAAGTAAATGTAGAGCCCCGCCCTCTCTATTCTCCTGTCCATCACTTGCTATCCCCAGCCCTTATACACTCTGTTAAACAGTTTATTTTTAAATTATGCAATATATAAAATTAAAATCACGTTTATAGTTATGAAATAAATGCTCTGTTTTTAATTCATGCTATTTAAATGTCAAATGAAGCATTTACAATTATACATTTTGTTCTCTGCTGTTTTGTAAATCTAAAATCAAGTATTGATAATTATATATTTTTTCTTCCAATAACAAAGTCTCAGTGTGACACCTGTGACTGAACAGTATCTGCCAGTGTCTTGAAGTCTGGGTTATAGTCTGATATTGCTAGTTGTATACAGTCCATCAGATGGGCATCTGTGATCCTGCGCTCAGCCTGGGAAGCTTGCTCCAGCACAGCTGGAGCTAGAAAAGATAAAGGCTTCCTGAGGATCCTGGCACAGCCTCCCGGTCTGAGAGCAGGGCAGCTGGGCTAGAGCGAAGCGAGGGGGCTGCCCGGCCAGCTGGCCATGGTGCTCAGCCAGGGTGCACCAAGCTCCACGTGGGCAGGCGCAGAGGAGAAGCCGCCGATTAGCTGGCCGACCTCCCAGCTCCCACCATTCCTCACAGCTGCTCACCTGTGTTGTTGCTTGGTGAGTAGCTGCTCCTCAAATGAGGAAATCTAATGTAAATGTTCTGCGCAAGCGCACAGTTCAGAGAGGGCTCAAGAGCTACTCTTAGAGCCCCTGAGATCTACCAGTAGATCGCGATCTACTGGCTGGTGACCACGGTTGTAGAGGATGTGGGCCAGGATCTTATCAGCTATAGACAGCAGTGAGATGCCCCAGTGGTCATCACAGCATGCACAGTCACCTTTTTTCTTGTATATGTGTACAATCAGGGCATCTCTGAGGTACAGTAATTCCTCATTTAACACGTGCCCGCTTAACACGTTTTCGTAATAGCTCAAATGTCGTCTGGTCAGGATATGGGAGCTGCTGCTGTTTTAGTTCAGACAGATGACCACCACAACCACGCTTCCTACATGCAGGTTTGTACCTCGAGCCTTCCAATCGTATCCTCCAACTGCATCTGACATCACTTGCCCATCACTGTAGGACTTCGATTCACAAGAGGTAAATCTTTAGCATCAAGAGATCAGCCTTTGCATATAAATGGATTTTAGTGAGACTGGCTTGTGAGCTGCAATTCCATTCTGTCCTCTCATACCGACCATTGTACAGCTGAAATCAGAGTTTCCCTTCTCCTAGATACCATCTGTCCACAGTGCCTTATTCTGTATTATTCAGCGCAACCCCTTGAGATCACTCTACGAAGGGCTTCCTCAATCGGCCACCCTGAGGAAGCGCTTAAACGCAGTAGTACCCAGCATGAGGGTGGCCTATACATGACTTGACATCAGCACTGCTGTGATAGTCTCGTATCTCCTGGAGTATTGCAGGATGAAGAACCTTATGTACTCTGAAAGAGCTTTAGAAGCATATTGTAACTTTCATGTACCGAAGGAATTAAGAGCCAACAAATCATGATGGGAATCAACAAAATCTGTATTGCACAAGATACTGCTTGGCACGCTATAGCTGCCTTCACTTTAAGGACTTCCTCCCTAGCTTATGGGTTGCGTGTAGTGCTGCTTTTTTCTTATTGGAGTAACACTTTGCATTACAGTATTGCAGATGGAACAAACAGCTGTAGATTACATGGGCAAATCCAAAGAAGATAGCATTATTTAGTTTAAGTGTACAGACACAGTTCAAAGAAACTGGTTCATGACCACTCCCAAAGCTGCTGTGACAGGAGTCCTGGCATTCAGAAGAGATTCCTCAGAGATACAGAGGAAAATCAGATATGCTGAGCAGGACTAAATGGTGCCAGGCAAGAAGCAAAGGTCAAATTGATAGTCCTTCATATTCCTCAGCCAGCAGAGCAGTAATATGGGACCTTAGGAGTGGGGGAAACAGGAAGGATCCTCAAACCACATGAGGGATGTTTTATAGATCTACTGGACAGAAAATAATTGAACATCTTCCCTGTCATTCACCGCTTTATCAGCCCATCCCCATATGTGCACAATAAAAGATAAGCTATCATACTTCATATTGTGTAACTTTTCCTTTGGTAAATCAGAGTACTTCATTGTGCCTCATGAGTAAGGCAGCGTTGCAAAATTTTACTCAACTACTTTCCTGAGGTGATAGGGTTGAGGGAGTAAAATACAAACAATTTTCTCATCATAATTGTTGAAACGATAAAATAAGTAGATTTTTCCTAATGGGCTGGTATATGATCATAGCAACTTTGCAAATTTGGCGTTCCATATGCAGTTGAATTCAGGAGCTATGTGCAGTTTGAGCATATATAAAGTGTGTTTGGTAACCAGAGTAGGTGTGGGTGGGGTGTACTGTTAATTATCATTTGAGATATATGACTAAGGAAGTCATAAAGTGATTTGGATTACAGTAAAACTCCATTTGTCCGGCATCCAATGCTCCGGCACTCCTGATGGTCCGACACCATCGGGAACCCAGAAGTGCTCCAGGCAGCCGGGCAATAGGAGCTGCTCTGCACCCAGCTTCCCCGATTCAGCTGCTGCTGAAACTGACCAGCAGCTGAATTTGAGATATATGACTAAGGAAGTCATAAAGTGATTTGGATTACAGTAAAACTCCATTTGTCCGGCATCCAATGCTCCGGCACTCCTGATGGTCCGACACCATCGGGAACCCAGAAGTGCTCCAGGCAGCCGGGCAATAGGAGCTGCTCTGCACCCAGCTTCCCCGATTCAGCTGCTGCTGAAACTGACCAGCAGCTGAATCGGGGAA